ATTTCACTATCTAATCACTACTGCTGTGATTGAGTTAGGTATAGATTTGGTGGTGTGGATGTATGCACGTATGTTTTTATGATTCGAAGCTATGTACAAATGTGTATGTATATACTTTGTAGCTGAAGTCTCTGGTCTTGAATATTTCTGCCGTTAGTGACTACACATTAATAACTGCTAATGTATCAGTTATGAATACATGGAGTGGCATCAGAAAACTTGACTAGGAGTGGTGTTAAAACCATCGGGATTTGTTTTTCTCGTGTAAAAATAAGTCCAAAGCCTGGCAAGTTCACGGTTGGCACCGTGGCTCAGGGAATCTTATTAGCATTCGGGTTCCTCCTGTTTTCCTGCTCTGCCATATGACTTGCCTTGTAGGATTGTGAAGCTGGAAACTTAAAATAATCCTAATTTTAGAAATTCCTTTATTCTCTAATCCTCTTTGCCATCAACTTCAGTTGCCTACATTGTCATTCTTGGAGTTGACCACCCTCCCCCACTCCTGTCACTCCTGAAATTCTGACTCTCACTTCCTTACTTGTGTATTGTTTACAAACTTCTAGCTGATGTCTCCAATCTCATTCTTCCTCTTTTCCTGCCAGTCATTAACAGTCTGATTTCTTGAAACCTAACTTTCTAAATATTTCTTCCCTACTTTTAAACCAAATCCAAATTGTTTCCTCTTTGAGTTTTCATTCATAACATGATTACTTTTCTTACTGAATCTTTATTTATCTTTCCTTCTCAATATACATTATCATAGAACATTCTCTTCAGTGCACTGTTTCCTGTCTGCCACCACTAACAGACACACTATAAACTCCTGCCATGGAGATTTTTATCCTACTCTTTTTTTTTTCCTCAATTGAAATATGGTTGATTTACAATATTATATTAATTTCAAGTGTGCAACAGAGTGATTCAGTGTTTTTAGAGATTATGCTCTATTTAAAGTCATTATAAAATATTGTGTATATTTCTGTGTTGTACAATATATCCTTGTAGCTTATTTATTTTATACATATTAGTACCTTTTCATCCCTTAACCCCGCTTCCCCCCTTCCCTCTCCCCATTGACAACCACTAGTTTATTCTCTGTCTCTTTCTGCTTTGTTATATTCATTCATTTGTTTTATTTATCTCTGTTCTTCTCTAGTTGTGCCCCAAAACCCCTACTCCCACCGTGTTTTTACTTCGTTCCAAATCCTAGTTTTCAAGGCCAAGCTTCTAAATTTCTTTCTTTACTACCCCTGCCTATGTATTTTTGTGTCTATTCTACACTATATTTTGAAGAAGTATAGTGTAGTGGAATGCCTTTGGAATCAGTGTGAATTTAAATCTTGATCTAGACATAACTTTTTGACCTTAGGAAGTTTAACCTTTCTAAGCTAGTTTCCTTAGCTATGAAATTTAAACAATTATGTGCATACACATGTGCGCATGCACACATACACACTGTCTTTTTGTGACAGTAAAATGGGGTAATGTTTAGTAAAGTATAGTAGTACTTAATATTAGGGATTGCAAGATGAAAACAAAAATCCCAGGATAACAGTGTTAACCAAAGGTGAAGTTTATTTTTCTCTTATATTAAGGAAGTCCAGGGGTATGTAGTCCAGGATTGATATGGTAGTTTTGTGTTCATCTGACACCCAGGCTTTCTGTATCCTTCTTTTCTATCATTCTGGTGTTTGATTTCTACATAAAGTTTGAGGTTACCACGTAGTCCAGGGCTTCCCTGATGGCTGAGACAGTAAAGAATCTGCCTGCAATGCAGGAGACCCAGGTGGATATCTGGGTTGGGAAGATCCCTTGGAGGGGGGCATGACAATCCACTCCAGTATTCTTGCCTGGAGAATTCCATGGACAGAGGAGCCTGGCAGGCTACAGTCCATGGGGTTGCAAAGAGTTGGACATGACTGAGTGACTGACAGTCACTTTTCATAGTCTAAGATCGCTGCTGGAGCTGCAGCCATCATGGCCACATTCCAGATAGCAAGAGGAGGAAGGAAGAAGGGATCTCTTTCCAGTGCAGTCAACTTTCTTTAACCAGCCTTCCAGGAAATCTCTCACAACCTTTCTGCTTAAGTCTCCAAACACCTAGTCACATGACTGAAACGTATTAAAAGAAGGTTGCATAGTGTGATCTCTTAGCTGAGTACATTGCTCCCCAAATAAAATGAGTGTTCTATTACTAATGAAGGAGATAAGAATATTGGGTGTCTACTTAAAATTCTCCAAGCCAAGCTTTAGCAATGCATGAACTGTGAACTTCCAGATGTTCAGGCTGGTTTTAGAAAAGGCAGAGGAACCAGAGATCAAATTGCCAACATCCAATGGGTCATCGAAAAAGCAAGAGAGTTCCAGAAAAACATCTCTTTCTGCTTTATTGACTATGCCAAAGCGTTTGACTGTGTGGATCACAATAAACTGTGGAAAATTTTGAAAGAGATGGAAATACCACATTACCTAACCTGCCTCTTAAGAAACCTGTATGCAGGTCAGGAAGAAACAGAACTGGACGTGGAACAACAGACTGGTTCTAAATAGGAAAAGGAGTATGTCATAGCTGTATATTGTCACCCTGCTTATTTAACTCATATGCAGAGTACATCATGAGAAACGACGGCGGGAAGAAGCACAAGCTGGAATCAAGATTGCCGGGAGAAATATCAATAACCTCAGATATGCAGATGACACCACCCTTATGGCAGAAAGTGAAGAAGAACTAAGGAGCCTCTTGATGAAAGTGAAGGAGGAGAGTGAAGAAGTTGGCTTAAAGCTCCACATTCAGAAAACTAAGATCATGGCATCTGGTCCCATCACTTCATGGCAAATAGATGGAGAAACAGTGGAAATAGTGTCCGACTTTATTTTTCTGGGCTGCAAAATCACTGTAGATGGTGATTGCCGCCATGAAATTGAAAGACGCTTACTCCTTGGAAGGAAAGTTATGACCAACCTAGACAGCACATTAAAAAGCAAGACATTTCTTTGCCAACAAAGGTCCATCTAGTCAAGGCTATGGTTTTTCCAGTAGTCATGTATGGATGTGAGAGTTGGACTATAAAGAAAGCTGAGCACTGAAGAATTGATGCTTTTGAACTGTGGTGTTGGAGAAGACTCTTGAGAGTCCCTTGGACTGCAGGGAAATCCAACTGGTCCATTCTAAAGCAGATCAGTCCTGGCTGTTCATTGGAAGGACTGATGTTGAAGCTGAAACTTCAATACTTTGGCCACCTCATGCGAAGAGCTGACTAATTTGAAAAGACCCTGATGCTGGGAAAGATTGAGGGCAGGAGGAGAAGGGAACGACAGAGGATGAGATGGTTGGATGGCATTACCAACTCAGTGGACATGGGTTTGGGTGGACTCTGGGAGTTGGTGATGGACAGGGAGGCCTGGCGTGCTGCAGTTCATGGGGTCGCAAAGAGTCAAGACACGACTGAGTGACTAAAATGAACTGAACAGACACACCTGAAGCGATTTAGCACGCCACACACACAGGCAGACTCAGCCATAGCAAATGGTGAGGTTAAACTAATATTAAATGCCTCCTTTCTTTCTGTTCTATTTAAGTTAGCTTAGTGTTAAATTCTTCTTTGCTCCATATGTATCTTATTTTTCCTAAGTACTTTGAAAGTGTCTTGAGGGATAAGGACTATGTATCATACTTCCTTGTTGTGTTTCAAAATACGTAGCAGAATGCTTGGCACTTGGACCACTCAATGAGAACTTAGTATATATTTGTTAATTACTTGATTTTACTTTCCACTAGGACTGCATTTCTTTTAGCCTCTTGTTAGATTTTCCCCTCCTAATGGTTATTTAATGCTTTTCCCTCAACTGCAAACTAGCAGCTCTCATGAAAGGAATGTGCCAGAGATTTTCCTTTGATAATTTTCTGTTTTCTGATGCCTTAATATTTACCCTATGGTGCTGATGATCTAAATTTTATCTTTCTTTGATGAACATATTTTAAATGTTTCTTTTTTTTAGCTAGGGTTTGCGATAAAATCCCCAGATTGAACCTAAAGAGTAATGTAAAAATGTACATTGTATGTATCTATTACATACATTTTTCTAATATACCTTTTTATTATTAATATATGGAATATTAATTTTCAAAATACCATGTTTGAAAAGGCCTCAGGAGATTTTTTTTTCTCCACATATTTATCTCACTGATTTGTTTGTAAGAAAGCTGAATAATTTGAAAAGAAAGCTTAGGTTATAGTTGTCAAGTTGTTTTGAGCTCCAGGTTATTTTTCTTTTTCTCCTCAACTGTGGGTGAGAAGAGGAGAATTACTAACCAGGGGTAGGAAGCTCTCTCTAAGGAGATAAAGAAATAGTACTACTACTGGAAACCTCTTTCTCAGCTGCTTGGGACAGGCATTATGTAAAAATATAATCTTACAGTATCAAAGGATCTTGTGTTAGAAAAGGTAATGTGAGTTTTTATTCTACTCTTGGAACTTACTAAATGGAATGTTTTAAATGAACATACTACATAAGAATACGTTACATCATTAGTATATGAATACACATGTGTAATACAGTTTCTTTCATACTCTTTACCAATATACAACTGTATTCAAACACTCAAGTTTGTATATTTGTTATGTAAGTACATACACGAATGTAAGAGATAAAGATCTGCTGCTACAAATTCTTCTTGGAATAAGGTGAGGTGTAAATAGGTAAAATAAAAAGTTATATATTATCCAGTTATGTATGCTCAAAGAAAGTAGGTAGGTGGACGTATGTGAATGGTTATGTGATCTTTAGGTAGAGTATTCAATGATTGGGAAAGAGGAGCCTTCTCAGCAAAGTAACCACACAGTGTGAAAGAGATTGAGAGTACATGTTAACTAAAAATCATCGTAACTTTATGATACTCTTTAATGATGCTTTTGGACTAGTATACAAATGACATACAGCTGTTTATAAAAAGTTGGTGTTTCTTTATAGTTTGACTTTATTTGGTTTTATTCTCATAGATGTTTTCTCCCAGATGTCAGATTCCAATGGCTTAATGATATTTAGCAAGTTTGACCAGTTTCTGAAGGAAGTTCTGAAGCTCCCAACAGCTGTCTTTGAAGGGCCATCTTTTGGTTACACAGAGCACTCGGTCCGCACCTGTTTTCCACAGCAGGTAAGGACGGTTTAATAGAACCTAGGACTTGAAGAGCTCTCATCTGCCCCTCTACCTTTAGTCAAATTTTGCCAGATTGCTTCACTCTAGGGATATAGGTCTTGAATATGGGAGGAAAAAGAGCTTTAAATCAGAGGAGGGGGTATAAAAAAGAGGGAGGGTCAAAAATTCACCTGAGAACTCTTTTTGGGAGAGGGGAGGGAAGTCTTTTCTAAAAAAAATGATAGGATTTGAAATATTTCAAATTAATAAAAGTTTCCAGGAAAATATTTGAGATGAAGTATTTATATTATTGCTACTAGACATATATTACTCTCCCTAGGGAGTTATTAACTGTGAAATACAGGAATTTTGATATAAAACTCTATACAATTCAGATCATTGTTTCCTGAGCACCAAAGACAAGCAATGCTGTACAACTCTCAACTGTCAGCTCACAGTCTCTCAAGAGTATACTGCCATTTTCATGTAAAAAAAAGATAGATTTGATTTCTTCTCCATTCGTGAGTGTCCTTGTGTGGTCTTGCTCCAGAGGTTAGTGTGAGTATATTCCTGAGATCTTAACTGTGCCTCAAAGAACTCAAAGCAGAGTGGATGCTGGCTGTAGCAGCCATTTTTTTTTTCCCCAGGTAGTGATGAGCTAGCAGATCTTCATGCTACATTTAGAAAGTTCTGGAAAGCAGAGAATTTTTAAAAATCTATGTTAAAGCTTCCCAGATAGTGCTAGTGGTAAAGAACCCGCCTGCCAATGCAGAAGACGTATGAGACACTGGTTCAGTCCCTGGTTATGGTTCGATCCCTGGGTCAGGAAGATCTGGAGAAGGGCATGGCGACTGACTTCAGTGTTCTTGCCTGGAGAATTTCGTGGACAGAGAAGCCTGGTGGGCTGTAGTCCATAGGGTTGTGCAGAGTTGGACACAGCTGCAGTGACTTAGCACACATGTTAAAATTAGTGGGTAAAAGATTAACGGAAATAGGATACTGACATAGTTTGAAAGTGTCTCACAATAGAATATTTATTATAAGGGAAACATTGTAACTTTGCAGTAGAGAAACCTGTCAGATACCACTTTAACCAAGTGATCAAATCCATTTCTCCAGCAGAGGGAGAGGCTGACAATCCTATTTCCTTCTAGCAGGATGCCCTAAGAAGTAGCCAGTATTATTGCTGTGGTTCTCTTGAGAGAAAAGCACAACCTGAGTCTCATTGAGGAAACTTTCAACAATGCCAAATGCAGGATTTCTGCAACATAACTGGCCCACACACTTTAAAAGGTCAATGTCATGAAAGACAAAAAAAGATTGAGGAGCTGTTCCAGATTATAGGAGTCTAAACAGACATGAAAACTGAAATACAACCATGATCTGGATTTTTGTTGTTTTTGTTGTTATAAAGGACATCATTGGGACAATAGAGAAAATCTGAATTGAAGCTTGTAGACTAGATAATAGTATTCTGTCAATAACATTGATTTCCTGATTTTGATACTTGTATTTAATCAAGAGAATGTCCTGATTTTGCAGAAATAAAAAGTTATTTAAAGTTAAAAGTGTATCTCTTCTGCAGTGTTAACATTTGAGGAATCTGGGTTAATGGCAAATGGGAATTTTTAAATAATTTTCTTATAGGCTTTCCATAAATCTGAAATTATTTAGAAGTAAAAGGTTAAAATGGCTTCCCAGATAGCTCAGCTGGGAAAGAATCCCCCTGCAATGCAGGAGACCCCAGTTCGATTCCTGGGTCGGGAAGATCTGCTGGAGAAGGGATAGGCTACCCACTCCAGTATTCTTGGGCTTCCCTTGTGGCTCAGCTGGTAAAGAATCCACCTGCAATGCGGGAGACTTGGGTTCAATCCCTGGGTTAGGAAGATCCCCTGGAGAAGGGAAAGGCCACCCACTTCAGTATTCTCGCCTAGAGAATTCCATGGATTTTATAGTCCGTGGGATTACATAGAGTTGGACACAACTGAGCAACTTTCACTTTCACTTTCAAAAGGTTAAAATATGGGATATTTAGCCAGGCCATAGAATAACATATATCCGTACATATATCTGCCAAAAATTATATTACAGAACTTCCTGGAAGTTCTGACTTTGTTTTCCTGGACATTGAATAAAGTTTGGCAAGAGTTGACTGGCACATGAATAGGTGTGTGTGTGTATTTCATAGGTGTCCTAACTAAGCGAAATTTATAGTCTGTGTTAGCAAGCCCCTCATTACCATTATAATCTAGTGTGTACTGTTACCATTTTCATTGATTTGAAGACCCTTTCCACGCCTGACATCTCTCAAAATCTCTCGTATAGCCCATGGCATCTGACCATTGCTTTTGGCAGGTGGTGGTTATGATGGGTTGTCATTTTCTGCACACGTGTAATAACTTGATCATAGTTATTGCTGTCGTAGGCTCTTCAGCTGAGTTATGTCCCCTTTTGGTACTGCATGTGTTGTCATTTCAGATGTCCTCAGAGAGAGTATACTCTGACTCAGTATTAAAAAGTTGTTGTAAACACAGAAAGTTGTGGACGTAACAGAAATAAATTTCACATTAGTGAGATAAATATTCATCATTGGAGAAACTACATATTGTCTTACAAAGCAACATCAGGTGCTTTACAGAAAATTTTCTTTTTTTTTTTTTAAAGGAAGATATCCACACATAGATGAAGCTGTGTTTTTATCATTGAGATACGACCAAAATCATTTCTTGTCAGTTGAAGCAGTGCCACTGAACCTTGCAAAATTGCCAGATCTTTCTGAATAGATGAAAGGAATTTCAGTTCATCAGGAGGCTGGTGGGACCGATTCACATGTCATGAAGGATTATAGTTAATTAAGTCATTGAGTTAGTTTAATTGGCTGAGTGTTTTTCTTTCTTAGTGGCAGGAAAAAAAAATAATGGTGCATCTTACAAATGATGGTGTCTTAGATTGGATGAAATACAGCATATAACATGGATTTTGATATCAACAGGTCTATGGTAATGAGGCCTATATTGCTGGCTTTCATTAGATTGAACAAAATTGCAGAGAGTTGAAACTGAGATTTTGCCCTAGTTGGGCCTGTGGAAGAGAATGTCTTGCTGAATTATTCCTTAGGTAGAAATGATGATGGCTCCAAGATTGTTTTCTTTTTTTAAGATTACTTTTTAATGGAGTATAGTTGACTTATGTTTTCATTTTTTTAAAGAGATTTTTGTCAGTTAACAATGCTTACTGTGAACATTGCTGTAGAAAAAGGCCCTGCCCTCTGCTATTACTCATGAGCTGAGAACAGGGTCTGATGATTCCCTGGCCAGTAGGCAGGGCTGGAGGTTGCTGGGTGTACAGTGTTGGGGTCTCTCAGCTCAGCTACTTCTCTGGGGTTCAGTGGTGACACAGTCTACATGTACTCCCTACTCTGGAGTCTGTGGTTCACTAGTCTTCAGGGTAAGCAGGAAAATTCTTTGCCAAGAAAGATGTGAGAACCGTGGACTCCTAGTCACTTTGCTTCCTGCCCTAATGGCAGCCTAAAAGAAGAGGACAATGCCTGCTCAGATGCTGCTTTTGATTCATTATTCCTTTTAAGCATAAGCAAATTTGAGTTTAAGTCATCATTTTAAAAAAAACATCCCTGATGTCCCTATTTTGCTTTAAAAAAAAAAACAAAAAAACCTTGCAAACTCCTCATTGTCTACTGGATTGTTAGCCACACATTGTGGTGCTTATCAGTTCAACTGCAGCCTGTCTTTTCTTCTTCACTCCTGATCTCTCCTACCCTTTTGCCTCAGGATTCCATGGGTTCTTTTTAGATAATTGCCCCAGTGCCCTTTACATTCCCACCAGCAATGGGTAAGGCCATCTTTTTCTTTGCAGCCTTGCCAACAGCGCATATTCTTTCATTTAGGATTTTTTTTCCAGTCTGAGAGATGAGAAATGTTATCTCAGCATAGTTTTGATTTGCATTTCACTTGTTTTGCGTAAGCAGAAGTGATGTTCTTCTCTTCTTTATGTTCTTAGCCCTCACTGAAATGCAGTAGCCCCTGATCTTTTCTTTCTCCTCCAACAAAGGCCTCATATTTCATATCACAGCTAAATATCTCCTGGTCTTAGATGCTCTGAATCTTTCAATGTAGGATTAATTGCTTCCTCTTCTACAGTCCCTGGCCAGTTATATGTAGCTCACTAATATCCTGAAGGGATGCACCTTGGTCTTCTTCAAATTTACATCCTCGTGACTAACAGTCTAGAAAATCATCAGTGCTTACTAGTTATTTGTTGGATTAATTGAATAGTGGTTGTAAATCAAGTATGACATGAGAAAGTATCTGGGTTTGAATTCTAATCATAAACTTAAAGCTCGTGGATATATTTGCAACCTTACTGTTTTCATTGATACTTTTATTCCATCATTTTCTTAAATGAGACGATATTTACAATGAGGAAAATACAGAATTTCAGATTTTTTAAACACTTCTTCCATTTTTTAAAAGTTGTAATAAATAAAAGTAGCTCTGACAAAAAGCACAGCAACTTTATATTGTTGTGTCATTGCAAAGTATCCTAATTTTCAAAGTCCAAAATAAATCTGTGATATGGACAAATTCAGAGCCTTTTAATAATTGAAGACCAATCCATAACACTGGTCCCATAACCAGTTAATGTGTGTTTGCCCTTGTCAGACAAAATATTTGTATAACTCTACACAAAAGTTTGTAGAAAAACATTTTAATCTGGAAGATTTTTAAAATGATATTTTTAAGACTTTTAGCTAAATGTTGTACACAGTTTAACTGATGACCAAGTAAGTCATAGGACAATGGGTAAAAATTTATTTACCAATTGCCCATAAGAAAATAGGAGTTTTTAATAAAAATGAGATTGGAAGTTGCAATTATGATGATCTAATGCTAAATTATTTTACTTGTTTTCTCATATTATTTTAGTGATACTGGATTTCTCACTTTTAAGAGTTAATTTGTCCCCTCTTTTAATGCAGGAAAGTTGTAGCTCGGAGTGGAGGGAGGGAAGTGAGAAGGGATGGCATCTAGACTAGTAATTGTCAATACTGAGAATTCGAATAACAAAGGGCAGGGAGGTGGGTGACAAACTGAAACAGTGGATTAAAAGAGAAATATGAAAGTGCATTCAAAGACAAAAACAGCCGCAGTGTTTTCCTGAGAAAGGCATAAATAAATCATGGTGTCTTTGCTTAGTGGATAAGGCAGCTGTTAAAATGATTAGAAAAGAAGATGTAGCAAAACAATAAAGTATTTAATAAAACAAGTTAAAAAACAGATTATACATTTTTATCTCCCCTATGTACGTAACTCTATAGAAACATATGCATTTGGAGGGAAATACAGAAAAATGAGAATTGTAATAGGAATGTGCCTTATATGCAGTTTTATTACAGCTTTTATTATAAATATTGTGCTGTAAAAAATAAAGAGAAATACAAAGCATGAATGCAAGAGCAAAACCAAAATAAAACAAAAAGGTAGAGAAAGAGGCAGCCTGTTTTTCACATAGTTATTTTCTGAGTCATGAAATTTTAGAGCTAGGAATTCTGTCCCATGAGTTCTCAAACTTTCTGGTATCAGGACCATTTTACACCCCAAAAAACATTTGAGAACCCCAGGGAGCTTTTTTCTATATGGGTTATAGCTATCACGATTTCCATGTTAGAAATTAAAGTTGATAAATTAAGAATATTAAATCATTTAAATAGAACAATGACAAGCCTATTATATATTAACACAAATAATATATTTTATGAAAAATATATTGCAAAACAAAAAAATTTAATGAGAAGAATGCCATTGTTTTATATTTTTGGCAAATTTCTTTAATACTTGGCTCAATTGAAGGCAGCTGGATTCTCCTATCTGTTTATCCATTCAATCTGTTGTGATATGTTGTTTTGGAGTAAGTATGGAAAAAATAATCTGGTCTCACACAGCTGTGTAGTTGGAAAAGGGAGGAATATTTTAAAAGCTTTTGCAGATAATCATGGATATGCCATGTTGCCTCTGGAACACTCCACCATACATTCTTGAGAGAATGAACTGGAAAAGGCAGATAATATCTTAGTGTTATTATGGAAGTAGTTTTGGCCTCATGAACTCCCTGGAAATGATTTAGGAACCTCCCATGGGGATCTCCGACCATACTTGGAGAACCACTGCTCTAGCCCTTGAGAAATAAGAAAACTGAAACCAGATTATTAGGTGATTTTCCCCCAAATCACGTAGTTAATGGAAGACAGAGTCTTGGGACATGGTTCTTTTGGCTTCATTCCTCGTGCTTTTGGTGGACCTCCAATTATAGTATGATTTAGGACAACTTAGGACAAGAACCAACTCATTGGAAAAGACCCTGATTCTGGGAAGGATTGAAGGTGGAAGGAGAAGGGGACGACAGAGGATGAGATGGTTGGATGGCATCACCAAAGTGATGGACATGAGTTTGAGTAGACTTGGTAATGGACAGGGAAGCCTGGTGTGCTGCAATTCACAAAGAGTTGGACAGAGTGACTGAATTGAATTGAACTGAGGACACCTTTTGGAAACTGATCCTGAGTGTATTTATAAGGGAGTTCTGAGATATCATATATGTCCGTTCCTCTATCTATGGATTTTTAGGTTGCTTTCATGTCCTGGCTATGTAGTGCTGCGATGAGCAACCGTTGAGGTGCATGTAGCCTTTCAGACCATGTTTTCCTCTGGATATATACCCAGGAGTGGGATCGCAGGGTCATATGGTAGCTCTGTTTTTAGTTTTTTAAGGAACTTTTTCATCTTGAAGATTTTTTAAAAACCTGTAAAACTCCATGATAGGTGAGTCAAGACTTTTTAGGGAAAGTAACATTAGGATTATAAGTGGGTTTGTAAAAATGTAATTTTTAACAAATATAAGAAGATACAGATATATTAATTTAAACATTATCATGAATGATATGTTTAATATTTGTTAACTACCTCTGACTAGTTTAAAAAAACTCCCTAGCATCTTCTTTCTCAATTTTAAGTGGACGCTTTTAATTTTATTTTGGTTTATTGCAGTTATTTACATATCCACTATAAGAGATATTTTCCATGTCTGAACCTCCATTCAAATGTTGGATGACTTACTGGTTTTATTTTTATGTTGTTCACCCATTCCTCCCAATTTCCACTGAAATCTCAGAAACAGTAGTAAACTTGGATTCCTGAGATAGAAAACACTTTGGAAAACTTTAGCCTATTTGAGTAGACATTTCTCAAGCCACACCATCAGTGCACAGCTGTGTATAGAGGGCCTTTGGATGGTAACTTCCTACTGTTATCACCCTCAGCCCTCTTGCATATATGTGAGACCCTTTCCCTCTCTCCATTCACTGCTGGCCTGTCCTCTGTCTTGGATCTGAGACTTTGCTTCAGATTTCTTCAGAATTAGTTTTTTGAAGGATACCTGAGTTCTGATTTGGGTAGGACTTTTACAAGTCATTTAAATGTGTTATTCCTTTATTGTCTCATCTGTAAAATGAAGATAGTAATGCCTCTTTATCTTTTTTCATTTCATATCTTTATTGAAATATAGTTGATTTACAATATTAGTTGTAATACAGGTGTGTATGTATTAGTCCTTCAGTCCTATCTGACTCTTTGTGACATCATGGACTGTAACCTGCCAGGCTCCTCTGTCCATGGAATTCTTTAGGCAAGAATACTGGAGTGGGTTACCATTCCCTTCTCCAAGTTTCAGGTGTACAACACAGTATTTCCATCCTAGCCTATTTGTTTTATACAGTTGTTTTAAGACTCAAATAAAATAATGTAAGTGGAAATGCATTTGAATATAGCAATAGTATTTAGCATAGTGTGTTGCAGTGTCTGTAGTATTGCAAAATATTATTTATTTTGCTATAAAGTTTCCCATGTAATTCATTACACCTTGGTTGTGAGACTCCTAAGTTAGCTTAATGTTAGAGTTCAGAGGTAACTTGAAAAATAAGTTTTTTTTTTCTCTCTTCACAGAAAAAGATAATGCTAAATATGTTTTTAGACACAATGATGGCCGATCCTCCTCCCCAGTGCCTTGTCTGGCTACCTCTCATGCATAGGCTTGCCCACGTGGAGAATGGTAAGCAGAACTTTTATTTTTTTTTAAGCAGAACTTTTAATCATTCAGTCCCCTGTGCTACAGAAGTATGCGAACTGATATTATTTGTAATGTTCTTAGCTATTGTCACTGAAAATTGTAATTGACATTTGTTGGCACTCCATCATTTGAATTGGTAGTTTCAGCTTCAAAGAATATTTATTTCTCCAAAAAAAAAAAGGGGGGGGGAAAGGGGACATTATTACTTAGGATACCAACGTAGTAATATCAGGTCAGAAAACTTTGTGTTTCAAACTCTAGGCTTTCCCCCCCAGATTCTAGATTATTGTTTTCTGCTTGAACCCACCCAACTTAGCCATGACTTCCTTTTTTTCCCCTGTAGTTTATAAAAAGCTTAGCTCCAAAAAATTGAATGTATTAAATATCCACTGTTAAAATTATAATTATTTTGGAATAGTTTAAAGGAAAGTAGCTAAGATAGAATTTGGTACTTGGTTTCACCAGTACCCAGTTTTTTTCTTTACTACTGAATTACTCTCAGTATTCTCTCCAGGTGCATGCATGCTAAGTCGCTTTAGTAACGTCCAATTCTTGTGACCCCATGGACTATGTAGCCTGCCAGGCTCCACTGTCCATGGAATTCTCCAGGCAAGAGTACTGGAGTAGGTTGCCATGCCCTCCTCCAGAAGATCTTCCTGACCCAGGGATCAAACCTGTGTCTCTTGCATCTCCTGCTTTGGGAGGCGGGTTCTTTACCTCTAGTGCCACCTGGGAACCTTTGTTTGACTTGGAATTGAAATGGTATTTACCTCTGAGTAACTTCTTAGGTTTTTTTAGTATTGTTACCAGCTTATCTCCTTGTTTAGGTTGTTTCAGTTCATTAAAGGAAAGGCCCTAGTTTTCTCTGGACCTTCCCTTCTCTCATGGCTCTTGCTTTTCTCTCCTTATTCCACAGAAGAGAAAGAGTGAAAGGTGACAGGCACTAAAAATTAGAGTCGTCTTCTTCATTTTGTAAGAATGAGAGAACATAACCATACTCTCTTATATTTTGTGCCTCCTATTCATATTTTTATTTTTTTTTAAACTTCTCAGCCTTTTGCCCAATTATGACTTAGTTTACAAGTCCTTACATGCACGATTATTATCCTAAAGTTCTGGAATTTCTTGAGTAGACTAAAACAGCTAAATTTTAAACAGGACTTTTGGAAAGAGATTTGTGCTATTAAATTATAACAATATTGCTTCCTTGGGGGAGCAATACTTTTATAGCCCTAAATGTTTTAGTAGCTTCATATCCAGCTCATTTTCCTAAAATCACTTTATGTCTACTCTACCAAGTAGTAAAGTGAAGTCGCTCAGTCGTGTCCGACTCTTTGCGACCCCATGGACTGTAGCCCGCCAGGCTCCTACTTCCATGGGATTTTCCAGGCAAGAATACTGGAGTGGGTTGCTATTCCCTAGAGGGAGTCTCATTTGTCAAGATGTGTTATCATTATCCATATGAACATTTTGTTGTGACTTTCTACGTAATATTTATTGATTACATTCTTATATGATAAACACTTTGATTACTCTTTAGACATATCTTGGTGACAAAAATTTAAATTTCTTAGAGGAAGTTTATACATTTGATTTCTCATTCCAGATTTTACTCTTTCTGTTATTCTTTAGTGATCTTGTTGCATTATTTTTTTCACCAAGTGCTCAGGTTTTGTCCTTGTTTGTTTTGAGTCTTGATTCGGTAGTTAACGTACATTTTTGGAAGCAGGACTAGAAGTCCTTATGATTGAGATAAGATTGCCTTTGTAGCCATAGGGCCATAAAGAGCTGTTCAAATGATGATTTGACTATTACACCCCTCTTTCCTTTGACTTTGATTTCTTGTGTTCAGAATTGAATTGGCAAAGGGAGCAATGTTGCTTTCAACATTTAAAAGTATAAATAACAATCTAATACACAGTTGTGCATTTATTGCCCACTTTCCACTCAATGAACTGGACATTCAGGCCACAGTAACCCTTATAAATCCTAACTGCCAGCTGGCAGTCTTCCACGAGGTAAGATGCTGTGTGAGGTGGAGAAAAGAATGGCAGGTCACTGAGTTTTCCTTCCTCCAAATCACTGCCCCTTCATTGGTTAGATTAGAGTACTTTATTTTATATCAGTACTTCGAGCTCTTACCTAAAACTAGTACTTTTTTTTTAAATAAAAAAATTTTTTTAATTGAAGGATGATTGCTTTACAGAATTGTGTTGGTTTCTGGCAAGCCTCAACATGAATCAGCCATAGGTGTACATGTGTCCCCTCCCTCTAAAGCCTCCCTCCCATCTGCCTCCCCAGGCCACTCCTCTAGGTTATTACAGAGCCCCAGTTTGAGTTCCCTGACTCATGCAGCAAATTCCCAGTGCCTATCTATTAAAACTAGTATTTTGATGTGACTTGCCTTACTTTTTTTTTTTAACCAGTTCCCATTTGCACCCCAGTATGTAATAGTATTTAATTCAGCAAACATTTCAAGATCATTAATCCAAGGGACTGTGTGAAATACCACTCACAGGTAATAGAGACACATAGCATGTCATCCTGGCCCTCACAGATTTTATGTGAGTTGAAGGAGACATGTGTCCATAGCTAACAATATACATCTCTTTAAAAGAAATAGGATTGGAAGAGAAATTTAGAGTGAAGTTGTCTCTCTTCCTTACTTACACATGTACCTAACCTTTGAGACATGAATGACGTTTTAAAGAAGGAAATTGATTGGTTTCTAAGGTGGATTGTAGTCGCTTCTCAATGGGACATTTTGGTATTGTCTTTTTATTTCAGTGAATGGCTGGTTCAGTTCAGTTCAGTTCAGTCGAGTCGCTCAGTCGTGTCCGACTCTTTGCGACCCCAAGAACTGCAGCATGCCAGGCCTCCCTGTCCATCACCAACTCCTGGAGTCCATCCAAACCCATGTCCATTGAGTCGGTGATGCCATCCAACTATCTCATCCTGTCGTCCCCTTCTCCTCCTGCCCTCAATCTTTCCCACCATCAGGGTCTTTTCCAATGAGTCAGCTCTTCGCATCAGGCGGGCAAAGTATTGGAGTTTCAGCTTCAACATCAGTCCTTCCAGTGAACACCCAGGACAGATCTTTAGGATGGACTGGCTGGTTAGATGAACTAAATGGAAGACAGTCGCAGTTCTTTGGTTCTAGTTGTGTTTGTACCTTGGCTTTTATGTTACGTTTGGTCTTGCACCGCGCTGACCTTCTGCAACTGACAGTGGCCTCTGTCTCTCTCTGGCCCTCTCCCCGCCCTCCAGTCTTCCACCCCGTGGAGTGCTCCTACTGCCGCTGTGAGAGCATGATGGGTTTCCGGTACCGATGCCAGCAGTGCCACAACTACCAGCTCTGCCAGAACTGCTTTTGGCGAGGCCATGCCAGTGGCCCTCACAGCAACCAACACCAGATGAAGGAGCATTCCTCCTGGGTAACGGCTCTGTGTCTCAGTCTGTGTCCCCAGTGCTTATCTGTTTCATCGGTAACAGCACGAAGGGCTTCTTTCCTGGTAGATGCCTATCAAATAAGGATGTGGCGTCATAAAATATTAACCCTGACTTTTATGATGGGGTTTGCAGATGTGTTGTGCTTCATCACTTGATTTGACAAGCAGAGTTGTTGTTGTTTGTTTGTTTGTTTGTTTGTTTTAACATTTTGCAACTTTGTATTCACATTAAATAATGTATCACCAGCATCTTCCCTTGATAAGACATTTGCTTTCACAAAACTGAGCTTTGTTTTTACATCTGTGTCATATGTATTAAAGATGTTCCAGAGTGTATTTTGTGCTTTTCTTGAGCATTTAGGGTTAATGCTGCAGTGCACATGCTTTTGATGAAATCTTTGTGCACATTCTAAATTATCTCATTAACATAAGTTCCTACAAGAAGCTAGCTGCATTATGAGGAAGATTTAAATTTCTTTTTTGCAAGCAAATTTTATTCATGCTTATAGGATTTAAATGTGGCAAAGAACGCTGCATAAGATGAAGTTAGATTTTTGGCTCTTGAAAATTGGGGAAATACTGTATTTTACAGTTGCCACATTGATATTCTTTCAAAAGTAGTCTTTTAAATAACAATATTTAGGTGGAGGTCAGTGTTTAACTTTTCTGTGTTGTGTTTATAAATCATGTAGCAAGTGTAGCATCAGTCATTTTTTTTCTTCCCTTCTTCCACTTTATTTCCAGAGTTTAGAAAAATGCCATATTTTTATTTCCTAACAGTTGCTATAGCCTTGTTTTAAAACTTTTTCCTCTAGTTCTTGTTTGTTGATTGGTTGGTTGGTTTGCCAAAAGGTAGAAAAATATTTATGGTCATAAGTATAATTGTGGATCTAGGTTCTTTAGCCTGGGCATCGTACTAAACTTTAAGTATTAGAAAGCTTCATTATTGGGGGCTGGGAGCAGGTCATTTTTCTTTTAGTCTTCTTTAGGTCTTCTTTCTTTTTTCTTTCTTTTCTTTCTTCTTAAAACTCAACCAAGAAAAAAGCAAATAAGGGATTAGTTAAAAACCAAGAGCAAACTTTAATCAAGTGTGTTCTTTATTTCCTACATCTTTGATAATGTGTTAGAGATCATTTTTTTATTAGATGGCTTTTCAGTTACAATTAAACCATAAAGTTTTGTTAAACTGAACCTCCTGTCCTGAGTCTTGTTGTATTGTAAATTCCAATTTTATTTTTGGTTGAGGAGACATTATTTTAAATTTATTAAAAAGGCAAAGTGGGGGGAAAACCCTATAGTTTATTCTCTTTAATTGACTAGAAAGGATTTATAGATTTTAAAATTGTTCCTTTTTCTTCAAGTTCAAGTATCCCATACTGTTAATTGACTTTTTAGTATTTTTTGGCTGTTTCTTATTTAGAGTGTCACTCTTTACACTGAGATAGCTCTTTGCTATCTCAGAATGATTGGATTCTCTGAGTGTATCTACTGAAAATTCTCCTTCTAGATGTCAGGGCTAGGAGGATGAGCACCTTCTTTTTCACCTTGGTTTAAACTTACTCATTTAGCTAATTTATAACCCTTGTAGAAATGGGAATGTTACATTTACTTAAACATCAGTGACTGTTTGAATATTGCTTTGTGATTTACAGAGCAGTTTTTCATACCTGTTGATCTATAGTATACCTAAAGTACAGAAATCACAAGTGAATTTTTAAATTTCTATTTGATCCTCACAACACTCTTGTGAAGTAAGTCTTATACCCATCTTTTAAAAATTTCAGTTTTGTTGTTTTTTTCTAGTTTATTCATTCATTTTTGTGGTGGTAACTTAAGATTTCAAGAAAATCAAGTGTTATCAGCATACTTAATTTTGATGCTGGTGTCATAAATGTATCAGTTCTGAATTTTGATGAGTATGTGCCTTACAATGGTAAATGCATCCTGGGAGGATCTTTTAGCAGTGTGTGTGTGTGTGTAACTTGTTTTTAAGATTAAGGCTCTGTGTGCAATGTTCTTATTCTTTGAGGAAGATATGGGTGAATTTTGAGGCTATTTGGGTAAAGAAGTTTCCACCTAAGAAAAAATATATAATCAGTTTAATGGTAATTTTTTTTGAAATTTGTCCACTATATTTGTATTAATATTTTGAATGAATGTTTCTCTGTATGTTTACAACAGATGAATTTAGTGTGCATGAATTCCATTGTAGATTTGATATGTGTAGCGTTGGTGCTTGGAATTTTTATTTTTATTTTTCTAAGAGTTCTCTTTAATGTTTTATGTAAGTAACTATGCAGTATACTTCATTTTTCTTTTAGTCATCAATCCATTCTTTTACCTTTATTATAGAAAAGAAGCCACATGGTACCATACCTGTGATTCATTCTGTCCATTTATTATTTATTCAAAAGATATTTTTTGAGCATCTGCTATGTTCCAGGCAGTGTAAAAGGCTTATGAGATCTATCTATGAACAAACCAGACAAAGACTCCTACCCTCAGTTCAGTTCGGTTGCTCAATCATGTCCGACTTTTTGTGACCCCCACGGACTACAGCATGCCAGGCTTTCCTGTCCATCACTGACTCCCAGAGCTTGCTCAAACTCATGTCCATTAAGTCGGTGATGCCATCCAACCATCTCATTCTCTGTCACCGCCTTCTCCTCCTGCTTCAATCTTTCCCAGCATCAGGGTCTTTTCAAATGAGTCAGTTCTTTGCATCAGGTGGCCAGAGTGTTGGAGTTTCAGCTTCAGCACCAGTCCTTCCAATGAATATCCAGGACTGATTTCCTTTAGGATTGACTGGTTTGTTCTTTTTGCTGTCCAAGGGACTCTCAAGAGTCTCCAACACCAGAGTTCAAAAGCATCAATTCTTCGGCACTCAGCTTTCTTTATAGTCCCAACTTTCACATCTATACATGACTACTGGAAAAACCATAGCTTTGACTAGATGGATCTTTGTCAGCAAAGTAATGTCTCTGCTTTTTAATATGCTATCTAGGTTGGTCATAACTTTTCTTCCAAGGAGCAAACGTCTTTTAATTTCATGGCTGCAGTCATCTGCAGTGATATTGGAGCCACCCCAAATAAAGTCTGTTACTGTTTCCATTGTTTCCCCATCTGTTGATGGGACCGGATGCCATGATCTTCGTTTTTCGAATGTTGGGTTTTAAGCCAGCTTTTTCACTCTCCTCTTCCTACCCTGATGGAGCTTAAATTTTAAGGGGTGTTAAAGAGACCACTAAGGCTTGCCAACAACCCTGTTTTCCTGTTCTTGCTGGTCACACATCTAGACTACATTTTTCAGCCCCTTTGTATCTAAAAGGACCATGTGAATAACTCTTACCAGGGGAATGTGATTAGAGTGATACGTGTCTTTCCAGAACAAGGCAGTTAATAGCTGGATGCCTTTTCTATTTTCTCTACCAGCTTAATGGAGAGAATTTCTTTAGGATCCAGAGGGGGTGAAACTATAAAATTTCTTAATGACCCAGAGAGGGTAAAACTATAAAGAGAATTTCTTTAGGACCCAGAGAGGGTGAAAGTATAAAATGAAAGGAAACTGGGTCTTTGAACAATGGGTGAGAAGAATATCCTGCCAGCCTGTATGACTCTCATGGGAGCAAGAAAGAAACCTTGTATTAAGCCACTGAGGTTTTAGTTTTTGCTACAGTGGTTGATACTAGAAGTGGAGTTCTATTAAAACAAAACCTTTAAATTTGTTTCATTGACTTAGCAGTCAGGTAGCACCCTGATGAGGACCCTGACATTGGGGATGGGAAGGACAGAAACCCAGGTTCCGCAGAGGTGACCAGTTTGGTAAATTTGTCATCCATGGTAACTTGGAAAACCTACCTCATGCCACGTTAACTCTTGGTCAAACATTGGAAAAGGTCACAGTGTGTGTTGACTTATTGTTAAGGTATTACGTGAAAGAGAGGAGTTAAGGAAAGAATTGGCTAGTTTTCAAACAAAAAAACGAAAGAGAGTTGGGGCAGAGAAAGGAAAAGCAGACTGTTTCTAGAGAGCAGGAGATAAGAGTTGAGAGAGGCTTTGAGCATCAAAGACCTAGTAAACATTCTTAGTTGAAAAAAAGTGACCCCATCCTGTGGCCAAGCTCAGATGAAGGGTGAGAGTCCATCAGAACTGCTGCTCTCACCAGAATTATCTTACTCCCACCTGCATAGCTTCTGATTTACTGGCTCCAGGATACACAGAACCTGGACACAGGCCGTTTTTGAAAGTTCCCCCAAGTGATTCTGTTTTGCAGCCAAAGCTGGAAACCGCTGACCTGTTGTTTCATCTGGCCCCCAGGTGGCTGCTGTTAGTTGAAAGCAAGAGTCATGGAGGCAAACACATAAATCAGGATTGAGAATTTTGTCTGGGAAAGAACTTTGTGTGTGGTTTCTGGCACATGGAACTGACTGGAAACAAATAGATCAAAGACCTGCTAAGTTTTTGAGCGAATTATATTGGCAACGGAACCATGAGCCTATTTGAGCTGTAAATGTAAAACTATTTAAGGACCCAGAACTTGTTCTGGAAAGAGGTGGGTTGTGAAAGTTTTACAGCCCCTTAGGAGGGCATGCCAGAGCCCAGCTGAACCAAGGAGGATATTGGATGAAGAAGAACCTTCTGCTCTTGCCCTGCTGTTGTATGTTGGAACTAGGGAGGGCAGGTGCAGATGACACGCCTGTTCAGTTCATCTGATGCAGCCTCAGGAACTGCACGTGGTCTTGATGAAGGAGAGTGTGCAAGAGTCAGAGGTCCTGCACTTGGAGTTAGATGTCCTGACTTAATGGGACTTTAGGTTTGTTTTGGATAGTCGGGGAGGTTTGAGTGTATTCTCCATGTAGCAGAAGAAAGATTAGAAGTACTTACCAATATCCGTGCTTTCCTTTTCTTCCTGGATCAGTTCAGTTCAGTCGCTCAGTTGTGTCCAGCTCTTTGCAACCCCATGCACTGCAGCACACTGGGCTTCC